ACCAAGGTGTGACGCCAACGCTAACGCTAACGCCGACGCCGACGCCGGGGCGAGTAGGATAGCTCCCCTTTTCATAGAAAAGTCGAGCTAAAAATTGTAATTTTTTTTAGGAAATGCTAAATTCAAGGGGAGATAAATCTGAAAATATTGGTGCTGAAGTTATGAACCTTGTCACATAAGATGTGGTTGATGATAAGGAACATATATTTGAACTTTGAAGTTGATACCTTAAGAAATGACACAGTTATAGTGAAAAATATTTTACTGCACAAAAACTTTAATCAGAAATCTGGACGCGGACGCAGATGCTTACGCCGGGGCGAGTAGGACAACTCTCCATATACTTAGTATGGTCGAACTAAAAATTAACATTTTCTTATATTCAGTTCAAGTGTGGGGAGGGGTAATTTTTATAAAAGTAGATGCTAGAGTTATGAATCATTTCACATATGATGTAGATGATGATAAGAGACATATATTTGTAGACTGAAGTGATACCTTAAGATACTTTAAGAAAAAACATCTAAGTTCATCAGGGGAGATAATTCTGGAAAAAATGGTGATAGAGTTAAAAATCTTGGCATATATCATGTGGTTGATGACAAGAGGAACATTATTTGAAGATGATCCCATGTGAAATAAAGAAATATGAGTAAACAATAACATTTTTAAAGAAAAGTTTTAAGTTCAATGGTAGATAATTCTGGAAATATTGCTTCTAGAGTTAAGAATTATGTCATAAAAGTTATGGCTGATGATAAGGAATGTATAATTAAAGTTTGATGTCGAAAACCTTAAGAAATCAAGAAGTTATGGTAAAAATACTTTATTGCACAAAAAACTTTAATCTGAAATCTTGACACCTGAGCACCAAAGCCAGAGTGAGTAGGAAAGCTTTCAATATCCTTCACATAGTCCAGCTAAAAATATATTCATTAGGGTTTGATTGTCCAAGATGCAAAAACATCGAAATTGTCTGGACGTTTTAAACAAAAATAAAACATGTAGTTTCTTGATGATGAACATTTGTGCCAAATTATATTGAAATCCCTCTATGCATGTAGAAGTTTTGCTCCAGACAAGTGTTTTTCTATGAGCTCTAACTGTGACCTTCACCTTTGACCTAGAGACTTGGTTTATGTGCAGGGCACTACGTCTCATGGTGGTGAACAATTCTATAAAAGTAACATTAAAATTCCTCCATGCATGTAGAAAATATGCTCCGGACAACATCTGGATATTTAATCATCTCCAGTGACCTTGACCTTGCAAATATTAACCTAAATTAAATGTGTCACACCTGTAGTCATGATAGTTACCACTTGTGCTACAATCCATCAATAAATGATGACTAAATGGTCCCTATAACCATCTTCAAATTTTTATCTGAACTTTGACCTCTATGTGTAACCTTGACTTTGGTTGCAGGGATCTGAATTTTGCATGCGACACTCAGCCTCACAATGGTGAACATTTTTGCCAAGTTATATTGAAAACCCCCTATGAATGTAGAAGTTTTGCTCCGGACAAGCGTTTTTCAATGAGCTCTAAGTGTGACCTTGACCTTTGACCTGGAGACCTGGATCATGCATGGAGCAATACATATCATGGTGGTGAACATTTCCATAAAGTATTTTAAAAATTCTTCCATACATGTAGGAGATATGCTCCAGACAAAATCTGGATATTTCACCATCTTTAGTGACCTTGACCTTGCATATATTGACCTAAAGTACATGTGTCACAGCCGTAGTCATTATAATGACCATTTGTGTTACAATCCCTCAATAAATGATGATTAAATCGTCCCTATACACATCTTCATATTTTTATCTTTTTTTAAACGGGCGTATAAAAAGTACATGTAATTGTAATTTAATAACTAAAAAATTCTGATTTAAGATTTTATTCTAGGGAAATACATTTCATTACAATTCTTAATCTTTGAATGAGCTGAACTGATATTTACTTGAAAATTAAAATATAATTAAATTTCTATGAGAAATAATTTACATTTGATAAGGTAATTACTGTATGATCTTTATGAACAAATACCAAGTCTACAGAACCCCATAGTTATCACAGTTAAGAATCTTGACCAATGAATGAAACATGTGTAAATAAATGTTACATTCTTTAGAACATACTCAAGTCCAAGAAAGAGGATTATTTCATGCCCTTTGATTAAATTCTATTTTTAGAATTGAAAGTGAAAGTAGATCAAGGGGAGTAATTGTGTAAGTCATTTATGAACAAAGTAATAACTTTGTTGTCGCCCTTTGATTAAATTCTATTTACAAAATCTGGATATTTCATCATCTTTAGTGACCTTGACCTTGTATATATTGACCTAAATTATATGTATCACAGCCATAGTCTTGATAATGACCATTTGTGTTACAATCCCTCAATAAATGATGACTAAATGGTCCATATACACATCTTCATATTTTTATCTGAACTTTGACCTCTATGTGTGACCTTGACCTTGGCCGCAAGGACCTGAATCTTGCGCGCGACACTCCGCCTCACAATGGTGAACATTTGTGCCAAGTAATATTGAAATCCCTCTATACATGTGGAAGTTTTGCTCCGGACAAGCATTTTTCAATGAGCTCTAAGTGTGACCTTGACCTTTGACCTAGAGACCTGGTTCATGTGCGCGACACTGCTCCTCATAGTGGTGAACATTTCTATGAAGTTTCATTAAAATCCCTCCATACATGTAGGAGATATGCTCCGGACAAAATTGGACGCCGCCCGCCCGCCCGACCGCCCGCCCGCCAGGGGCGTTCCCATAATACGTCCCGTTTTTCAAACGGGCGTATAAAAAGGGCATAACTATGCAAACAAGAGCTGTCGGTAGGACAGCAAAGCTCGACTATTCTTAGTGCTTGATAGTAAAAAAAAATGCTTGATACAGTTACCTCCTCCTGTTTACAGGTTGGGGTAATGATGGTGAACAAGTGTGCAAAGTTTCAAAGCCATATGTCAATGAACTTTGAAAATATTTGAGGTATTACAAAAACTTTAACATAAATTCTAAGTCAAAAAAGGGGCATAATTCTGTCAAAATGCTTGATAGAGTTACCTCCTCCTGTCTACAGGTTGAGGTCATGATGGTGAACAAGTGTGCAAAGTTTCAAAGCCATATGTCAATGGACTTTGAAAATATTTGAACTATTACAAAAACTTTAACATAAGTGGTTACGCCGACGCCGACGCAGACGCCGACGCTCCGGTGACTGCAATAGCTCTACTTATTCTTATCGAAGAGTCGAGCTAAAAAGCAAACCAGAGTTATGGGACTTTTGCCAATCATGTTAGATAATCACAGAAAACAAGTGTGTGAACTTTTTTTTTTTTTTTTCTTTTTTTTTGGGGGGGTTTACATCACATCGACACAGTATAGGTCATATCGCGACGTCCCAGCTTTACTGGTGGAGGAAGACCTCAGGTGCCCTTCCGTGCATTATTTCAGGCACGAACGGGCACCTGAGTAGAACCACTGATGTTCCGTAACCTAGCTGGATAGCTTCCTTACATGAAAGAATCAAAAGTCCCTGTTGGGATTCGAACCCACAGCGGTGAGGGGCAAGTGGTTTCAAGTCAACGACCTTAACCACTCGGCCACGGACGCCCCATTGTGAACTTTCAATCCATTCCCATTAGTAGTTATGGAGATACTTGCTTACATACAAAAACTTAACCACAGGGACGCTGACAAATGGGTGACTGCATTAGCTCTATTATTCTGTGAATAGTCGAGCTAAAAATACCCTCACCATCCTTAAGACAAAGGCTGATATATAGGTCAATTTACAATTTTTGTTAAGATGAAAATTAGGATTTACAGAGCTGAACAGAAAGACCATCAATCCTACAGACACCACAAAGTGATTCCAGTATAGCCTCTCAATCCATGTACAAGTAATTGGTTATAACTAGTCATAAGATGTCTGTGGTGTAAGTCATTATATCACATTTGAACATGAACTGACTAAAGTATGATTGAAACAGAATAGTCGGCAATTTTTCATTTTTCTTTTTATCTAAAAGAGGGCCATTTGCCCCTTATTCTATTATTGCTGAATAAGCTCATTTGTTCTGTTAACAGTTAGATGGCCCCCTATGTCTTTTTCAGTAGTGCTCTCCAACCACCACCACAAATTGATTCCGGTATAATCTTCATCCCAAACATTTATGGTATATAAGATGTCTCTGATGATATACTCACATTTACTACTTCAGTTTCTTGCTGTACCATCTTATTATCTTGTAATAATCAGCTGTAAAGCTATATCCTCAGTATCTTCATCTAAGACAAAACATTATGTAAAATCAACAGAAGTAAGAAAAACTAGAAATGTGTCATCATGCCACGGATGCCCCCGCATGCAGCCAAAATTTCAGATGGTGCATTAATTATTTTTTTCATTTTAAGTTCAAAGCCCTTAAAACTTTTCAATGTTAACACAAACCATTTTCATACAAGGCACTGAAATTATTCAGTCTTAACCTTTTAAAAATAGCATATTGCATATTTGTAGCCAAAATAATGGCTAGAGTGCTGAAACTGAAAGTTCAAAATTTTACCAACATTCAGGAAAGATAAGTTTGTCTAAAATCATTGAACCACGACCAAATTCAAACTTAAACTGCTTATTTCTAAGATGTATCTATATTATTTTCAAAGTGAAAGGGACATAACTCTGCCAAAAAATCATCAAACCATGACCAAATTCCAACTTGACCTGCCCATTCCTTTGACATATCCATATGTCAAATTTAAGTTGAATATGTAACACTGTTGGGTAGATAATGAACAGAAACTGTAAATTTCATATTATTTTCAAAGTGAAAGGGGCATTACTCTGCCAAAAAATCATTGAACCAAGTCCAAATTCGAACTTGGCCTGGGCATTCTTAAAAACATATCCATATGTCATATTTGAGTTGAATGTGCTGTACCATTGGGGAGATAATAAACGGAAACTGAAAATTTCATATTACTTTTTAAAGTGAAAGGGGCATAACTCTGCCAAAAATCATTGAACCATGACTAAATTTGAACTTGACCTGCGCATTCCTTTGACGCATCCATATGTCAAGTTTGAGTTGAATGTATTGTACCTTTGGGGAGATAATGAACTGAAACTGAAAATTTCATATTATTTTCAAAGTGAAAGGGGCATAACTCTGCCAAAAATCATCGAACCATGACCAAATTTAAACTTGACCTGTATTTTCTCATGACATATCCATATATCAAGTTTGAGTTGAATGTGTTGTACAGTTGGGGAGATAATGAACGGAAACTGAAAATTTCATATTATTTTCAAAGTAAAAGGGGCATAACTCTACCAAAAATCATCGAACCATGACCAAATTCGAACTTGACCTGTATTTTCTCATGACATATCCAAATGTCAAATTTTAGTTGAATGTGTGCAACCGTTCTTAAGATAATGAACGGAAACTGATGATGACGGAATGACAGAAGAATGACGGAAGGACGGAACAGGGTAACACTATATGCCCCGGCCATTACATGGCGGGGGCATAAAAATATTAGTAGAATTTACAAACAATATTTATAGCATTTACAATTATTATAATTGCATTTGTCTATATGACTTTACATCACTGCATTCACTCCATGTGCTTCACCTGAAAATACAATCATGAAAAGTTAATAATTTGGCAATAATCTACATACATAAACTTTTCAGAAGACAAAAAGACACAACCTAAATCTCTTCATTTTGAATGTATTAAAGATGCAAGAACGCTGACCTTTGCCATAAGTATAGTCAGACCAGTCTGAATCTATACTGATGACACATTATTCTATTCTTGAAATTAAAAAAAATTAAAATAGTAATGATAAGCTAGAAATGTGTCATCATGCCACGGATGCCCCCGCATGCAGTCGAAATTTCAGATGTTATAATATTTAGTTCCAAATTTGTTTGCACAAATAATTTTTTTCATTATAAGTTCAAAGCCCTTAAAACTATTCAATGTTAACTAAAACCATTTTTATACAATGTAGAAGGCACTGAAATTATTCAGTCTTAACCTTTTGTAAATTGCATATTTGAGGCCAAAATAATGGCTACATACATTTCCACAAAAGTATGAGTGCTGAAACTGAAAATTCAAATTGTTTCCAACATTCAGGAAAGATAAGTTTGTCCAAAATCATTGAACCACGACCAAATTCAAACTTAAACTGCTTATTCCTAAGATTTATCTATATGTTAAACTTGAGTTGAATGTGTACAACCATTGGGGAGATAATGAACAGAAACTTAAAATTTCTGATTTTTTTTTCAAAGTTCAAGAGGGATAACTCTGTCAGCTATCATCAAACTATGACCAAATTTGAAATTGACCAATGCATTCTTATGACATATCCATATCTTTGAGTTGAATATGTACAACTGTTGGGGAGATAATGAATGGGAACTGAAAATTTCCTCTTTTTCAAAGTTAAAGGAAAATAACTCTGCCAAAAATCATCAAACCATGACAAAATTCAAACTTGACCTGCACATTTTTTTACATATCCATATGTCAAATTTGAGTTGAATGTGTAATACCCTTGAGGAGATAATGGACGGAAACTGAAAATTTCATATCATTTTCAAAGTGAAAGGGATATAACTCTTGCCATAAAATCATCAAACCATGACCAAATTCCAACTTGACCTGCCCATTCCTTTGACATATCCATATGTCAAATTTGAGTTGAATTATAATGTAACACTGTTGGGGAGATAATGAACAGAAACTGTAAATTTCATATTATTTTCAAAGAGAAAGAGGCATTACTCTGCTAAAAATCATTGAACCATGACCAAATTAGAACTTGGCCTGCACATTCCATTGACATATCAATATGTCAAATTTGAGTTGAATGTGCAATACTGTTGGGGAGATAATAAACGGAAACTGAAAATTTCATATTATTTTCAAAGTGAAAGGGGCATAACTCTGCCAAAAATCATTGAACCATGACCAAATTCAAACTTGACCTGCGCATTCCTTTGACTTATCCATATGTCAAGTTTAAGTTGAATCCGTTGTACCGTTGGGAAGATAATGAACTGAAACTGAAAATTTCATATTATTTTCAAAGGGAAAGGGGCATAACTCTACCAAAAATTATCAAACCATGGCCAAATTCGAACTTGACCTGTTTTTTCTCATGACATATCCATATGTCAAATTTGAGTTGAATCCGTTGTACAGTTGGGGAGATAATGAACGGAAACTGGAAATTTCATATTATTTTCAAAGTAAAAGGGGCATAACTCTGCCAAAAATCATTGAACCATGACCAAATTCGAACTTGACCTATATTTTCTCATGACATATCTATATGTCAAATTTGAGTTGAATGTGTGCAACCGTTACAAAGATAATGAATGGAAATTGATGATGACGGAATGACAGAATGACGAAATGACGGAACAGAGTAACACTATATGCCCCGGCCATTATATGGCAGGGGCATAAAAATGCCATCAGTGCAAAAGCTGGTTAGGTAAATTATAAAAATTGAATCAGAAAAAAAAAGTATTTCAGTTAATTAAAATAAGTTATTCAAATGAAATTTTAAGGCAAATGGGCAAATAATTTTAAAAAATAAATTCATAATACAATAAAACTTTGTCATATAATTATGATGTAGCTGATGATAAGGTGCTGAAGTTTGACTTCTTGCAGATCAGACAGGATAATCTACTATTTACACCAGTGCTCGAAAAGTCAGGTGTCATAATGAATTATCTATAATAGATGCTACTGTAAATATATGTTTTGTATGGTGATGTTTCCAGTCATGGTGTTTTGAATGGTGATGTTGTCAGTGGTGATGTTTTGAGTGCAATAGTGGTGATGTTATCAATGTTAATGCTTTAAGTGGTGATGTTTTGAGTGGTGATGTTTTAAGTGGTGATGTTGTTAGCGATGATGCTTTGAGTGGTGATGTTTTAAGTGGTGATGTTGTTAGCGATGATGCTTTGAGTGGTGATGTTTTAAGTGTGATGCTTTGAGTGGTGATGTTGTTAGTGAAGAGGTTTTGAGTGTAATGTTTTGAGTGGTGATGTTTTTAGTGTAATATTGCCAGTGATGATGCTGAGTGATGATACTGTACACGGTGGCATTGAAAGGTTTAAAAAAAATTGCCAGAAAATGTGTTTGATAAGTGCCACTCTAGTACCTCAATAAGCAAGGCAGCTTGCAGTCTGGAAAATTCACAAGTCAAGACTGCTCATATTAAAGGTGTGTTTTTTGTACCTTTACATGTTAAATTTGATGACTTTAAAAAAATTATTTTAACCCTATTTATTTCATGCTTTCCAGCGTTTTATTGTAATATATCAGATGATTATATTCTGATAAACCACTAGTGAAATTTATATAATATAATTTTCACTCACAGTAGCCGGACCATATCTAAATGCGAATGAAAAGAAAATCATAACTAAATGGAATAACAGGCAGAAATAAATGCTGTCATACGAAAATTTTGCTTCTTTAGGAAAAGAAAGTCGATGTCACCATACATCATGTAACAAGAGGGCCATGATGGCCCTGAGGTCGCTCACCTGTATATAGGCCCCCCCAACCCCCCCCCCCCCCCCCAACGTTGCAGGGCCAATTTAACCCAAGGGCTTTTATTTACACAAACTTGGTAGACACCCATAAGAAGATGTTTCATGCTAAACATCTAAGCTCTAGCTCATTGGGCTTTTTAAAAGAAGATTTTTTTAAAGTTTTTACTATACACATATAGTTAAAAACAATGACACCCCTGGGGCCGGGCCAGTTTTGACCCCAGGGCTTTTATTTGAACAAACTTTGTAGACACTCACTAAAAGATGTTTCATGCTTAATATTTTAACTCTAGCTATTTGGGTTTTTTCAAAGAAGATTTTTAAGTTTTAGCTATACACATATAAGGAAAATCAATGACCCCCGGGGCAGTGCCAATTTTGACCCCAGGGCTTTTATTTGAACAAACTTGGTAGACACCTATTAGAACATGTTTGATGCTCAATATCTTAGCCATAGCTCTTTGAGTTCTTTAAAAGAAGATTTTTTTAGGTTTTTACTATATGCATATAGGAAAAATCAATGACCCCCTGGGGCCAGGCCAATTTTGACCCCAGGGCTTTTATTTGAACAAACTTGGTAGACACTCACTAGAAGATGTTTTATGCCAAATATCTAAGCTCTAGCTCTTTGAGTTCTTTAAAAGAAGATTTTTTAAGTTTTTACTATATGCATATAGGGAAAATCAATGACCCCCCGGGGCGGGGCCAATTTTGACCCCAGGGCTTTTATTTGAACAAACTTGGTAGACACCCATTAGAACATGTTTCATGCTAAATATCTTATCTCTAGCTCTTTGGGTTCTTTAAAAGAAGATTTTTTAAGTTTTTACTATATGCATATAGGGAAAATTAATGACCCCCTGGGGCGGGGCCAATTTTGACCCCAGGGCTTTTATTTGAACAAACTTGGTAGACACTCACTAGAAGATGTTTCATGCCAAATATCTAAGCTCTAGCTCTTTGGGTTTTTTAAAAGAAGATATTTAAAGTTTTTTCTTTCGGTTGCCATGGCAACCAGAGTTCTGCATGGAATTAAATTCTTTGAACAATTTTTAAAGGTGACCACCAAAGGAACATTCCTGTGAAGTTTGGATGAAATTGGCTTAGTGGTTTATGAGGAGATGTCATTTAAAGTAAAAGTTTACGGACGGACGGACGACGGACGGACGGACGCCGGACGAAAAGCGATCACAAAAGCTCACCCTGTCACTTTGTGACAGGTGAGCTAAAAATGTAACAAAATTAGAGATATTTAACAGAACTATATTTCAAAATTGATGATGTGACGTCATGATGTGATGACGTCACAAAGGAGAATGCGCGAGGTTATGCAGCAAAATCAGTAAAAAATACTTAAAATCACTTAAAAAGCATGAAATAAAAAGAAAATTTATTTGTTTTACATATAAGATTGAAATATATTTCATTCGTGAACACCAGCCATTATATTTTCACTCGTGGCTACGCCACTTGTGAAAATATTGCATCTGATGTTCACTCAGTGAAATTATATATTTCAATCTTACATGCAAAACAAACAAATATCCTCTATATATTTACTCCAGCATTAATAATCACTGTTTTTTGGTTCAAGCTTATTTGCAAAATCAGCATAAACCTGGTAACATTTTCACTTTATAATTATTTCAATATAAATGACTACAATATCATTATCTTTTTCATTGATCATTTTCATTATCTTTATGTCATTATGATTATCCAAGTTCTTTTCTTATTGTCACTATCATTATTATGATTACAATAATTATTATAATGTTTAACATTATCACGATAGCAACTTTTATCATCATTATTATTTTCATTTCTATTATTATCATCATTATTTTTATGATTATTATTACAATTATTATTATTATTATCATTATAAGTACATGTACTTCACTCATACCCTGCTAGTAGCAACCGAATCTACTCAAGCGTCCTAAGCAAACCAAGATCAGCCCGTTGTCTGATAATCGTCTACACTACTTTTTTGGACAACCAGCACTATAATATTATTATATATTCTAACACTCCACATGA